CTGCTTGTGTCCCCCAGAAACCCAGAATCCCTGATCCCACTGCAACCAAATTGATTCCAACTAATAACTGCCCTCTTGCTCAGGGAGCTCTGACTGCCTACTGGTAAGAAGCTACACTGCAATCCCAAAGGTACAGGGTTCAAATCCACCAGCTGCTTTATAGGAAAAGGATGAACAGCCTCTGCCTGTGCGATTTACTGCCTTTAAAAGCCCGCTGGAGGGTTGGCTGTGGGTCAGTTATGACCGATGGCACACACCACCAACAACACAGTGGTTTTTGAGGCTGTGTATCTTTATAGAAGGAGACTGCCTATCTTTCTCGCTCATGCTTCTCCAATGGACTGAGAGGAATAGAGGAAGTTAAAGAGAAATTGTTGTTATTGTTGTTGTTTGGTGCCAAGGAGTTGACTACATCTCAGAGTGAACCTATGACCACCAGATCAAAGCTTGTCGTATCTTGAACAGTCTTTACCGTCTCTGTCATATTTAAACCCATTTTTTTAAATAAAATGTTTATACTTGTTTGCTTACAAAGTTCATATCCATTGTTTTTCCACACTGGATCTTTCCCATTTCCTTTTCTCATACCTCCTTCCACCCATTAAATTGTACGACCCTATTATTAACCACCACCCCTTCCAGCCTCTCCTCCCTGGATCCTCATACACATTCTGCAATAGTGATCTTATGCTGTATTTGTCCTTATAGAACTGAGTTAGTTCACTCAGCATAATGCTCTCCAGTCTCTCACAAGTTAGGCAGTGATTTGCAAAATCACTGCTCCTGCGTGCTGTGTAATATCCCATCATGTGAATAATGTATCATAATTTCTCAATCCATTTGATTGTGGTTGGACATTTGGGCTGTTTCCATGTTCTTGCGATGGTGAATAATGCTGCTGTGACCATTGATGTACAAATCTCCATTTGTGCCTCAGTTCTTATTCTCTCAGGGTATATTCCAAACAGTGGGATAATTGGGTCATATGGATTTTCTATGTTCAGCTTTTTGAGGAAGCACCAAACTGCCTTCCAGAGTGGTTGTACCATTTTACAGTCTCACCAACAGTGTATTAAGAGTTCCTATCTCGCCACATCCTCTCTAGCATTTCTTGCTGGCTGTCCTGTTAAACTTTGCCACTGCTACTGGAGCTAGATGGTATCACACTGTGGTTTTAATTTGCGTCTCTCTAATTGCCATGGGTTGCTCAGGCCCATTCTGGCCGTCACAGTGTCAGTCCATCTGATTGAGGATCTTCCTCCCTTTCTCTGGCTGTCTGATTTTCTGTGCATGATGTCTCTGTCCAAGGACTTGTCCTCCTAATAACATGCCCAAGGTATGAGACTCAAAGTCTCACCTGCCTCAAAGGGGCACCCTGGTTTCACTTCCTCCAGGAGAGAGTTGTTTGTTCTTTTGGAAGTCCATGCTCTGCCAAAGTTAACAATTCGAAGGCATCAGTTCTTTATTCTTCCTTATTCATTGTCCGGCTTTCACATACAAATGAAGCACTTGAAAATACCATGATTTGTGTCAGGCGCACCTTAGTTTGTAAACAGATCTTGTTACTCTTGAGCACGCTGGAGAAATTCTTGACAGCAGATTCTCCCAGAGCAACATGCCTTTTGATTTCTTGACACCTTGGGTGTTATTTGTGGATCCCAGCAAAATAAAACTATTGAAAATTTTCATTTTTCCCTGTCTTAACGTGATGCCTGTTGCCTGTTGGTCCAGTGGTGATGACTTTAGGTCTTTTTTTAATTTTATTTTATTAGTTTTAATGGACATTTACGGAGATTTTGGATTTCCATTCATTCATTGCTGCATTTTTCTCCCTGCCCACCCCTTCCCCCCAATTGGCTCTTCTCTTTGAAAAGTCAAAGAAAAATCCCTTCATTGGTATACAGTCT